GAAGAGTGAAAGCAAAGCAACCTACAAGGTTCAAACATTTTAGAAAGAATACCACGGCTGTGTTCAGGTGTTATATCTGCCGAAGTAGATATATCTACTTTGATGAGTAGTTGAGAATACATTTTGGTCTAGAAATTGATAATTTCTTTTAACTCCAATTGCTTATTTGTACTATTCTTTCATTTTAGAGTACACAGAGACATTAAACTGGATAATTTCCAATAAGCTCTGATGAAGCTGGATTGAATAAAGTTGATTGTGTCATGTTTTCATATGTTCAGTAACGTATGTTCCTAACACAGCAGTGATCTGGTTTCTATGCAGGTTCAATAAACTTTGGTCTCACTTGATCTTCTCGTGTGGTTCTGTGGGTTTCACAAAGATGTCTGATGGAAAACATGAGTTGTGGTGAACCCAGACACACTTCAGTTTTCTTCAAAGCAGATAAAGTTGATGTGAGCCAAGACTTAAAGCAGCAGGAACACTTTCACACATGAATCTTATGCTATGTTCACACTGCAGACGAAAGCGCATGAAATCTGACTTTTTTTGACCCTATGCGACCCATATCCAATCGTGGCATGACAGTGTGAACAGCACAAATCTGATATTTTCAAATCTGACCTGAGTCACTTTCGTATGTGGTACTGAATCAGAAACATAATCTGATGTTATAGAAAGCGACTGCTGTTTGAATGGTCATGTCGCAATAAATCAGTCATTTACGTCACTGACACAAGACAGACGTCAATTATTTGCGCGAGAAGTCTGCTGTCTGCTACAGAGTTACAAGTATTATACTAATAATATAGCATCCACCATCTCCTGCTTGCAAATTTCTGAAAACATCTTAGTGGTGTGGCAGCTGTCGATTGAGCCAGCCCTGCAAACCCTGTGAATGGATAATGGAGTAGACCATAGGTGTCAAACTCTGGCCCGTGGGCCAAATTTGGCCCGCAGCCTAATTACATTGGACCCGCGAAGCCATACCAAATTACTATTAGAGCTGGCCTACTGGTATTATACAGCTAATATATATATTGTTTAGTATTAAGCTTTGCTTGTTCCATATTCAGTTTTTCAGCAAAACTTGTTTGAGTCCATAAGAAAAGATTCTTATATCTGGAAGATTTTTTTTTCAATAAATATTAATGCTAGCCCGCGACTTTGTTCCAGTTTTGAATTTTGGCCCACTGTGCATTTGAGTTTGACACCCCTGGAGTAGACAGTGGGAGGAAGCATCCTAAAGCTGTCTTTGCAGACCACCCTGTGTGATTCTCCACTCACTGACCAGAAAAGACAAACCGCAGTGTGAGCAGTGAGTGTGTGTGAGAGCGAGAAGACTGCCAGTCGGCAGGCGTACCGTAATGTGTTTAAGAATAGTGCAACAGCAACATGCGGCGGCTAGCTTGACTGTGACGTGAGGGCTCACGTGCCCGCAGTCTGGGACCGACACTCCCTACACACCAATTAAACGGTGTTACTCGATTTATTAACAAAGTGGCTCATAGGAGACTTCTGCAGCTACGACCTATAAACAACATTGGTTTGCCACCGAGTGAAATAATGAACGCATTGCACCAAATAAACACATAGCAGCAAATACAATATTCCTTCTGCTACATATTTGTATAGCACAATTAGTTATGCATAAATATAATGCACTTAACAAAGAAGACAAAGGCGTAAAAACGTGTGCAGGTTCACGATGCTTCAAAACAGTGGAAACATGAAAAGCACAATAATAATAATAAAAATAATAATAATAATGTAAAGAAAGTATCTCAGCACGAGCCAGTGGCAAAGCAAATGAACTAGCATGAAAAGCTCACAGCATTTTAAAAACAAAAACAAACAAACAAAAAAACCCTCTTAAAACCGACTACTACGCACCGATGACGAGTAACTTCACTGGAGAATGCCACGCCCTCAGCATAAACATAGGGGGATTTGACCAATAAGATCCACGATAGGTCCGCCGATGATCATGTGACTTAAGGTGGAAACGTTTTAAAAGCGTTCACATTCCTGGAGTAGCTGAATTTAACACATTCAGGGCACACTTATCGTGTTTCTGTCAGCACTACACATTTCATATTCTGAGGAGGATTTTATCTCATCCACATGATGAATCAAAGATCATTTTTGACTTTCCTGCTGTTTGCTTGTCTGCTCCTCTTCTCATATGCAACTGGGAAAAATACAGTTTCCATTATAGGTAAGATTGTTATTTTATTTATATTCTTTCACCATGTTTTTACTTAAATATAGAGAAAGTGTCTAAACATCACATGTGAAGCTTAAAGAGAAAAAGGAAATTCATAAATTGAAAAATTACAGCTGCATAAACCTCAAAATGTTCTCACAAGCACATTTATTGATATAAATAAATTTAGGCTATTGAAAAATTTTGGAGGGCAAAGAAAATAAATGAACTTCTGATCTTTTTTTGCCACACTTCAAATGAAACGCATCAAGTCTGGTCAAAATGTATGTATTTTATTGATCTCAGAAATCTTCTAGCAGCTTTATGTCGTTTTTGTGAAACCAGCTGAGTTTCCTTGGGTGTGTTTTTGCAATCATTGTCTTGCTTGACTCTGTTGACCCTCACTTCATCTTCATCACTTTGGTAGATGGCAAAATATTTTTTTTAATCCAGAATTGCTTTGTACATTTTTCCATTCATCCTTCCTTCAATTACACGAGTGTGCCTGTCACAGCTGTGACGGCAGTCATGTGGGGTTGAAGGGAAAAGTGCCCAAACACAGATGATGAGAGCTTTATTTACAAAATGGTGAGAAAACAGGCTGAGCAGAGGTTGGAGGACCGAAACTAAGATAAACATAAACTGGGAAGAATCTAACAAATTAAACTGAAACCTTAACTCATCCCAATTCAAATGCGCAGTCGATTTCCCCAAATATCAAGTGTGGTCTGGTGCACGCTTCGTGGTCCCATATATCCCACAATTCATAGCGCTGCAGTGGTTGTGGATAATTTTGCCGCAAAATACGGCAGAAGGGAGCTGCCGAAGAGTGAACTGTCAAAAGTAAGGTCTCAGCCTCAGATACTAATCAAAGTGATGTCATGACAAAAATGAACGACCAACAAAACATTTTTTTCTCCTTCATTTCTGTCACACAATGCTGTATGAAACGTTTCTCGCGGTTAGTATCATGGTTGCTAGGCAGCGCGACGTAGGCTAGACCGTCCCATTTCACAAGCCTCTCACTTCCGCACTTCTCGTACTTATAGTATGCACCGTACGTAGTACGCGTAGTGCGCGTACTTCAAGCGTGCAGACCCTGAATTGGAACACAGCCACAGTCTTTTACTCAGTC